GCGGCCCGAGGCTACTTACTCCTCGAGAGGCGGCCCGCTCCTCGCCGCCCCGGGCAGAGGAGCACAGACTGACGTATTCGCCCTCGCCAGCGCCCTCGCTGGCCCGTTCTCTCTGGGGAGACAGGATGAGAGAGGCGCGCATGTGACAGGCCCAGCGAGCCCGGCGGGCGCTCCCTCACCACCGGAGGGCGGGGGGCGGCTGCACCCTCCGGGTCGGAGCGCTCTGGCCGCCTCTGCCTCTGCTCACCGGCCCCTCTCGGCAGAACCGAGAAGTCCCACGGAGTCTTCTCAGGGAGGCTGGCGGCCAAGCCAGCTTTCCTGGGCGAGGCCTGGCTCCTCCCCTGCTCCCCGCGTGGAGGCGACTGTCAGGCGGGGGAGACGCACCCCAAGATAACACGGCACACTGCGGCCGGCCCCCGAGTGGCCTCCGACCCTGCCCTGCCGCCAGCCCACGTCCATGCCAGACTGCAGTCCCGGGGCCCAGCGAAGCGCTGGTCACCCCCGGCCCAGGGCGCGGGTGCCCCTGGTGACCGTGGCCGAGAGCTGCCCGGGCCTTCTCTGCATCCTAGCAGCACCGCCGCCCCACCAGGGTGCCGGCCTGTCTCCCTGCTCACACGCTCACTGTGGCAGCCCGTCCCCAGGCACGCACACGCTCTGATGGCCCAGCTCCATGGTCACACGCTCACGGCGGCCGGTCCCCCGGTCACACAGACACTATGACAGCTCGTCGCCACGGTCACACTCATGCCGACGGCCTGCCCCCTGGTCACGCGTGGTGACAGGCTGAGCCCTGGCTAGGGGACCTCTGTGCAGAAGGCCCAGCTTCCGCCCTGGAAACAGAGGTCCAGTGTCCCACCTCGGGACCGGCCACGCCGGACGGCTGGTGGTGGGAGGTGTCTGGCTTTCTGGGCGCGAGCGGCCCGGGGAGGGGCGGGTTCTCACCGGAGGCGTCTGGGGCGAGTCAGAGAGAGAGGTTTCGGGAGCAAGGCGGGCAGCGTCCCTGTGAGCGGCGCGCTCCTGAGGGGCCGGAGGAGGCCCGTCCACGGTGCCGGGAGGCGGGCCGGTGGCGGTCGGCGCCGCCAACTCCGAGCTCTGGGACTGGCGGACAGGCGGGAAATGTGGAGAGGAAGAGGAGGTGGGCGGAAGGAAAGGCGGAGCAGAAGCGTGGCTGTGAGGCACGGAGTCCTGGGAGAAGGACCTCAACACAGACTTGCACTGCGGAGAGCGAGACAAGAGGCGAGGAGAGACAGGCAGCAGTTAGGGGCGCCGCGGAGGCCGTCACGGTGC